GGTGTACATCACGGTGTACACCCCCCTCACATGGGTAAGGGACCCACTAGAATATTTTATTTAGTGGACCCCTCCATGTGAGGGGATGTAAACCTTGATGTATACTTTTTGATGTACATCTAGCATTTTTCTTTAAAGAATACGTAAGAGTAATACAATATGTCTATGTTTGGTGGGCCGTATAAAGAATTTTGTATAAATTTATAATGAATGATACTAAGTGGATTATATCATATGATAAATTAAGGTAAATATATTCTTCAATTTTTCATTAAAAATTAATCATCAGCACCATCAGACAATTTGAACCTCCACTTAGCTTCACCCACCAGAATTCATCTTGATCATAAATAAATCACCTAAATTCGCTTCCATAAACATTGACATTGCCCCATGATGAAGACTCAATTTTGCTATGGTTCCAGTGGGCGACTACAATAAACTAACGAGGGAAATGCTACATGTACAAAAATCTTTTACAATTTCTTGACAACCGGCAAACATTCATTGACGTTAGACACAATAAATTTAAAATGCAGCGTTGTCATCTCATCATCTGTAATGTTTTTTTGTCAGTTTCATCTATACAAACAACTTTATTCAACTAATAATTGATATTCTTGAATTTTATTTAGATTCTTTTCTTAAGAAAAGTAACAAAATCTTAAATAAAATGTTCCTTTAGAATATTGAAAGGTGGGGAAGGTGGGGTGGGGGACAAAATAATTTTATTCTACAGTTACAAATTTACAAACTAGCAGCAATATATGTGGAAGAGTTTCTTTGTTTCTCTTGTTGCTTTATGCTATCTGCAACATGAGCGACAACTCCTGCTCCAGCATTATGAAACCACTCATTTTTCACCTGATATTTCAAAATAAGTCAGATTGGAAGCCAGAATTAGCAGCAAATATCGTTTAGTTTACTTATTTTGGGAGCAAGATAAGAATAACTTTCAAAATAAGTTACTTTTTAATTGAAAGTAAGAAAAAAGTACCAAATCAAACACGTTTGGAAACAAAAAAAGGCGCTGCATCTTACATGAATATTATTGTGTGCAAAAAAGGGCCAGAATGCAGAGTGAAAACTGACATCAACTTTCTTCCATCCCAATTGTTGTAAACCACATATCATTTCCTCTATATTGAATACAAGAATTGTCATTCCTAGTAATGGCTGTGAAATAAATACTATACGGAGTTGGAAACTTAAGTGAATATGGAATAGATACCTTCCATAATTTCATGATATTCTTCTGTTTTCTGCGTGCTCGATTCCTTTTGAGCAGCCTCCTTCGCTTTGGCTGCTTCTGGAGGGAAACGAGGACCCTTGGATAGAACTGGAGGATAATATTCCACATCAACGACGTGTTTGTAGCCATCCAATGACCGTCGAGGAGGCTGCAAATTTCAATATCAGAAATCCAGTAAGAGTGATGGAACACGAAGTGCCTGTTTGGTATATAAGACTAGATAGCGGTAGACAATATAATACAAAACATTTTTACTAAGAAGCTTAAAGCAACTAGATTCTTATCATGTAACATATTGTTGAGAAGAGGTACCTATGATAACTCATTTTCAAGTTCAATGACTAGACCATTTTAGTAATCAACTTCACTTTCCATGCTAAAACTAGATTTACTATCTAAAGTAGGCAAAAAATAAAGGTCCCACCAAGAATTGAACTCAGGCTATTGGATTCAAAGTCCAATGTCATAACCACTAGACCATGGAACCGTTTTACAAGATGCGATTGGCAATTAATGCTCATAATCACAAGATTGTGTAGTTTCGTATCATTTTCATTTCTTTGTCAAATCATATATTTATCCAAAAGGATCAAAATAAGACTTCACAATCTTGAACTTATATGAGAGAGATAAATTCATCTACAAACTAAACCTTATTCCCAATAAATTTGACGCTAGGTATGTAAATCCTTGTTTGGCATTCCACTTTGCTCATCTCTAGTTTTACCAGAAAGTTTAAAACAATTAGATGCTCATCAACCACAACTTGCCATGTTAATTTTGGAACATGGAACCATTTGTTGAGAGGAGGTACCTATGATACCTCTTATTCTATTTCTAGTTCAATGACATGATCAGATTAGGAACCAAATTCACTTTCAATGTAAAATTGCACTTTATCCAAAGTAAGCAAAAAAAATAAAGGTCCCACCAAGAATCGAACTCAGGCTATTGAATTGAACTCACACTATTGGATTCAAAGTCCAAGTCATAACCACTAGGCGATGGAACCATTTTTCAAGATGCCTTTGGTAATTAATGTTCTTAATGGCAAGAATTTGTTGTTTAATAATAGGCTAGCTTCTTTGCCAAACCAGCATATTTTATCCAAAAGGAGCAAAAATAAGACTTTCCATTCTTGTACTCATCTCAAGGGAAGTCTAAAAATACTATAATACAACAACAAACTAAGCTTTATTCTCAATAAAGTTGGGATTGACTAAATGAATCCTACTTTGCATTCCATTCAGTTACATTGATAGATCTAGTTGAAGATTTGAAATAATATAGATTTTTAGCAACTGCAGTGGCGGTAAATTTTGGTCTACTGGTCTCTCTTCTAACTTTCTGTACTGAATTGATTTTGGATTCGTGTCAATGGGATATACATAAATATTGATAAAACAAAATTCATTGATTCCACAAAATCAATTTCCACTAGTATAGATGGTAACTGAGTGAAACTGACCTAATTTGTTCAGGCTCCTAATATGTTCATTAAACCAATTTAAGTAATTCCAGAACGAAAGAAAGAAAAACCTTACTTTCCATCTTTGTCATACCTACAACTCATATCTATAGTTGTAGACATATGAAGTTATTGTGGATAAAAGACTCAAAATAAATTATTTAATTACCTTTACAAGTTCTGTCTCCCTTCTCACAGAGGATGTCCGCCAACCAACCATATCTGGACTGTGTTAAGAATTTCAAAAATCAATGGGACAATAAGAACAATTTATTAGTAATTAAACATATGAGTTTCCGATTTTAATCAGTGACCCATACAGAATACGTAGTACTAATTACATGTTTCATGATAATTCAATAAGATTATGCATAGGGATACGGTCATAAGAGACATTTGCATAAAGAACCCGACATCTGAAAGTGCCAAGTGCAGTTCTGCAAGACAAAAGTACTATAATAAGCTTATAATTGCCATACAAAAAAACAGTAAAAGGCCAATTCAACTCACATAAAATTTCCATCTTCACAATTTGTCGTCATTCGTAATAAGAGAGGAGGTTTGTTGGGTTTGCCATCAGTAAGGAAGAGCTGACTGCCAGTTCGTCCAGTAATAAAGGGGGCAATCGGTGCAGCAAGCTTTTCTAAGATAGGCACACCAAGAAGAAATGGAAGCTGAATCATACAAAAGAATTAACTGTCTTGAGATCAAGTTCCAAACCACTAATATTAATGATTTAAGTTTTAATAAAAGCTTAAGCATCCATGTAAAATCATGTGAATTTTGCTAAAAATGAACTTGAAGGCAAACTGGCTAAAGATGCTATGTCACTCGACCAGAATGATTAAAAAAAAAAATTCATCAGCTTGAAGAACAACCAGGAGAGAGCAAGCGAGAAGAAGAAAAACTTGTAGAGGAACACATAGCAAGGGAATTGGATCAAATCTAAATGAAATTCGACAATTTTAATCTATCAGAGAAAACTTAAAGTTTGACTAATTGCTAAGTTGCATGGACATGGACACGCGACATCTATACTATACTATACTATACTATACTATATTATACTATACTATACTATATAGACATGTGGATACATGATTTTTAGAAAAAGTAGATGCAAACACATTGATTTAATTCTTCAAAATTTAAAATCCATATACTATATCTTTATTTTTAATTTTGTATATAGGGCACGGTACATGGAACATTGGACTCTTGCCCAAAAGGTGTCTTCAAAGTATCCCTTAGGGTGTAGTTATTTATAAATATATATATAAAAAATAGGACAAGAGCATGTGACTTGTTGGATACATGTTCTTTAATGTCCAAGGATTGTCTGGGTCCGATTCGACTTGTCATGTTTCGGACATGGACATGCCATCCTAATAGGAGTATCCGTGCATTACAGACTAATTGTATCTCCATTTCTTCATGAGAAACTCCTATTTTCCTTTTTCTTTATAATGAATATGTCTAAACAGATGCATGTACAAGTAAAACAAAAAGGGTGCAAAAACCATTCATTCAACTCCGTGACATTTACATAGATGAATACGAGATAATATTGCCGTCAATAAACAAAAAAGTGACTTTGACAAATACCTGCTTCTTTCCTCTCACTCCAAGATGAGGTGTTGCCAAGGTAATAAAATTAGTTGGTTCCAACCCAGCAATCAAACATTTTTTTGGAGAGAACAACATTTTTAAGTTTGTATCAGTCGAGCTGGCTATATCATCGGACTTATAAGAGACGTTGGCCACATACAAAACAGCAACTGCATATCTAGCAAATAATCCACCAAGAGAGTGAGCCAAGAAAGATATCCTTTTAAGGCCTTCTGTTCTTTTCACGACCTGCACAACCTGTTTATAGCAAAACTTGTTTAAAACGAACATTATAAAAAGTTTTACAAAAGCCTCCTTGTAGAACCATGAATATAGAGAAAGGTAAAGCATTGACAGAAGGATCAGACTTTATGGACTACAAGATAAATATTTGTGACGCAGATGGCTCCTTGAGCAAACCAGAATCCATATTTTACAAGCCAAATCATGCCATCTTAAAATAAAAAATGAGCAAACAAAGCCATCTAAAACTCACTTCATCCGCCAGTCGTTTACCAGCTCCGTCAATTCCAGTAAAGGTTTTAGTGTACATATTAGATGAGCTTGCTGCACACAATAGGCAAGTTACTATTAGACCTGAATGGACTTTGAGAACTTAATGACCACCAAAGCCGTGCATTTGAATTTTAACTTGAATCTAGAAATATGGTAAGTTGAACATATACCTATACAGGATATAAAGAAAGAAATGTACAAGGCAGTATATCAAAATCTTATGCCTACAGATATTATGTTTCATGAAATTCAATACAGATGTCATTTTCCGCTATTTTCTTTTTGCAAGACAAGTAGATATATGTTTTCAAAGACAGTCACTTGATTGCTAGCCAAGCCTTCACCTGCAACCTTCATAAAAAATATGCACCTAAACAATCACCATATTGCCTCACAACAGGGGCAGAGCCAGGGTTCAAATAAAGGGGGCTAGCATAAATTTCTTTTAAAGTGATGTCATGAAAAATAAATTATTTATTTAAAAGCAAAAACAAAATCCTCGTCAGGAGACATAGTGAGTACAATCAGGTTTTAATGAGAACAAGATGTACAATCAGGTTTTAATGAGAACAAGATTGCTGGGTTTAACTACAATCAAATTAAATTGACCAGTATTGATTTAATTAAAGTGGTTCTAAAAAAACGCTAAGACCTCTATATGATTATTAAAGATTATTCATGCTTATAGCTTAAACATTATAGCACATTAAGTACATATAGTTCTCTACCTCTCTCTCCCATTTGAAAGTGCTGAAGATAGTATTTAAATGGTGTACATTTGGCCTTATCTAAAGCTTAAACTTTTAGATGAAATAGTTTAACATGATATCAGCACGCAATGGTCTGGGTTCAAGTCTCGCCTCCATCCATTTAAATAAAATTGTCCACTTAATAGGCTTTGATGGAAGAAACCTATACGCGAGAGGATGTGTTGAAGATAATTTTTAAACACCTTATCTAATAGTTGAACATTTTAGATCAAGTGGTTCAACGGGAAAGTTCACTTGAATAAAAAAATTAATGCAAGCAATAAAAGGCATATCACGACATATTCTCCTTTTCTTCCTTCTCTAATCAAATTCCCAGTTCTTAGTTTCCATCACAGCACAACTTCAACCAAACTCGCCCAACTACAAAGGTGAAGGAGTACAATCCAATCGTAGAAAATTTATCGTAAAAGATACAATCAAGGTTTTTTTGGCAAATTTCAACTTTATGTTGTTTCTAGGGTTGGGGCGCAATGGGCTGCCCCCCTTAAACACGCCCCTGCCTCATGATATTCATACCCTTTCTCAAACATTCATACCTCATATAATACTACTCTATCATTGTCCTTCATAACCATATAACTCCAAAATAGTCCACATCTTACTAAGTGTCCTATATGATATATGATAGGGGACCGAAATAGGGATAGTCAATGAGACGGGAAGTATGCCTCTCCCCCAAGCAAACATCACAAGAACACAAGTAGCAACATGTTACAAATACGGTAGATTTTTTTCTTTTTCTTTTTTTGCTACAGAATAAAGTTTCAGCATTCTTGAAGTGCTCAAATGGAAAAGCAGAAACACATAAATTACCCTATGGCCTCAGCACGATGTCATATATTGGAGGCATTCATAAGTAAAATAAAGGAGGAGACTAATAAATCCAAATTAAAATAGAGCATATGGATCTATTGGGCACTGTTCCTCATTTATAATTAGTAGAAGGTAAGGCTATCACAGAATCTACGTGTATTCACTAAACCAGATTTAAGTCCATAAAATTCATCCTTTGGGACAATTCCCTCAGCTGTGAGGCCTCCTCATGAACCTATTCTCTTTCTATTTTCTCACATTAGATCCAGATAGAGTTGGTGCTGTTAGCCAATTTTATATCCATTCCATCTAACCCAAATCAATTTTAATCCTTGACAAAATAAAGAGTAAGCAATAAAATTTTCTCATCACTTCGACGCAACACCATATTACGAAAAGCAGAAATATAATAATGAATATTGTTTTAATTTAGTGAAATGAAAATTTTCCAAACTTGCACAGACAACATACCATAAATCAAAAACTTTTTCCCTAATCGCCTCTTTAATTCCGCTTCGAAATATGTCCAGTCACTTGGGCTGCAATACTTGGATAGCTTTAGTCGAAGTCAGTGATTAAAATATACACAATCCCACAATGATTGAAAAAAATAAATACACAAATTTTCGTTGTAAAGATTTTTAGCGTATCTATTGATGAATATAGTAGTGCACATTTGGCTAAGCTTAAAAAATTCACTTATAAATAGTTTATTTTTAATTAAAAAAGTAAGTTTCAAATAAATTTTGTTGTCAAAGTTGGAAAGAAGTAGGTCCTTTCTTTTTTTTTGAAAGAAACCCCTGCAAAATAAGCAACTTTTTCATTTAAGAAAGAAAAGAGTAGCAATGCCAAACATGTTTAGAAACTGACAATATGTTGTGAAGAAATAGGAAACAGATTCTAGCCTCATTTAAAGCTCATTCTTGATGCTATACAACATTCATTAAATAACACTCGGTGAAGTGCATCCCATCAACCAATATCATTGTAGAATATTTTTGTCATTTTGATAAGTATAACTGTTTAAAACATGCTGTTGTTTGTTAATAAGTACTAACTTCTTGAACGAAATCTAAACCACCTCAAGAAGAAAATGATAACAAAAGACAAAAGAAAGCTCACGTGAAGACCCTAATATAAAGTGGAAAACACGGACATGCATGTGTTGTCTCATGTCTCATTTTCTATTTTCTACTTTTCTCTGTGCTTTCTACTATACATTTCTCATTCAAAACCACCACTATTGTTCACACTAAATTGGAAGCTCTATCCTTTATACATTTTCCAGATGGTGTCAAGCAGACTCTTCTGTCATGGGCATGGCAAAGATTCTTATTTGCTTCTTCATGTACAAGAATATGCATACCTTGCCAAGATGCCATGAACAAGAACAAGAAGATGATCAGGTTCATTGTCCACTTTAACAATGTTCCTTGGTGAAGCAAGATTTCCTTGAGTTGTACTCATGGCTAGAGCTTTGAGGTTTTGAGGCTTCCAGATATTGTTTCTACCTGAAAGGTTTGTGTAATACCTTCAGAGTACAGAATGAAAGAAGTTCAAATGTGCTTATGTTATGAATACTAAGAATACACACCCTGATGCAACTACATTAGATTCAGAACTTTTTGAGTATACATCATACATTCATTTAGGCAGCCAAATTATAATTCTAGTCAATGAATGCACTCCATTTTAGGCCTAAGAAGGACTAAAGGACTCTTATGCAACAGGGAGTGATATACAAGTAGGACACATTATGTGCTAATTAAACGAGAAATTAGAAAATATTGGAGGAGGCACTTGTGTCATGGCATAAAAAGGAGACTACCATAATGGAACATACGAGTCAAAAATGCAAGTCAAGCCTTGTTCACTAAAATAGAAGCTCTTGGCTGCTGGAACTAGTTTACTCATTTCCTTCAGTATAGTTTTATTTAATATACTGTCCCAAATTTTAAGTCTCCAGTTAGAAATCATTTTAAAACAAGGATGAAATCCTAATATCATGGACTAGAACCACGTCCAAAACCAACTTTCATACAGAAGGCTTAAAGGTCACAGACACTAGAGCAGGATATTTCATTAGAAGAATGTAACTGTTCCTTTGAAGGTATGAGGTGTAATGTGGTCTTCCATGCTTGGATCTTAAGGGAACATATCCCAAATAATTGTCTTGTTCTTTAGCTAATGCATATACTTTCTTATTCATACACATCCTAAACTGCATGGACAAAACTTACTATTCACAATCACTTCCAAGATCATGTTTATTGATAAGCTTTTCTTTGAAATGCCAAAAATTATTTAGGTTTCTGTGCATGCTTGCCACATTATGAATGCTGATTTCCTGATCATCTAGCTACGAAGGACCATACACTGATACATAACTATAATAGTATACCGCTGTCCAACAATCAACTTTCTTTTTGCTTACATTTCATATGGGAATGGACAAGTGCCATGAACAGTTAAACTTAAGAAACTAAAAGGCCTAAAAAAGATTCTATTTTGTGATATTTTGTCTCAGATTTTTTTTTTTAAATGACTGTATAATAACAATTAGGTAGACTTTGCCGGGATTTCAATCAATAAACCAAAGTCAAATATTGAAACGCTGGTATTTGGAGAAGAAAGAGGCCATGATCATTGAATTGCAGTTATCAATTTGACAATAATGGAGAGGCTGGCAAATAAATTTCACCATTCTCTTGTTTTTTTTCCCTCAATTAAGAGCTAATAACAAATGCATAACTGGATAAAAAACAGGTAAGAATAAAAAAAACTGAAATATTTTAAAGACAATAATCCAAAAGCCGAATTCTCCATTAAAGAGTATCGTTCTGATGATTTTCTCTGACAAAAACCAAATTACCAGAGAAAGAACAAAAATATACCAGAAAAACTAATAAAACCCCAGTTCTGCTGTCGGCACTGATTAAATGACGCCGAATTAGAGCACGAACACGAACCAGAAGAAGAAGACGACGGGGAATTATTATTCAAATTCTTTTTCCTTCGGCTGATAAATCGAGGCATATAATTAAGCAAAGGCGATGAAGACGCCATTTATACAAGGGCATATAGTACGTGATAATTACGAGACAGATTCTAGAGAGAGAGCCTATCTTCTCGGCGAATTGTTTGAAATTGTTACGTCTTCCCCCATTCTTGAGTTTATCTCCTGCAGAAAATACAGTGTGCCCATGCTCCCTGTCCATTCTCCGCCATTGGAGGCAGCATTATTTATTTTTGGCCGCATATGTGAATGCTGATTAGCAAGGAAATCGGAGTTAAATGTTTGATCAGCCGCGGAACGTTGCACCATGTGGGCTTATTCATTGAACTTTCAAAATTGTCTCATTGGCCATTCAACTTCACTCCATCCAACTCCACCACCCGCCCATTTAAAATCGTTAACAAACGCGTAGTCGCACCAATGTGGATGATGGGAAGTTGAGTTGACCAGTTAATTACTTCCAAACAATATCTCCCTCGCCAACTCATTACCAAATAAGCAAAGACGCATCCTGGACGTACGACTTTGAAGGCCACATAGCCAAACTCTTATCCTAGAGCTGCTAATGGATTGTATTTTGATTCGAATTCGATAAAATTAATGGGAAATTGATTTATGGTCTCAATCCGATAACCCGATTAAGATCGGAACCCGATTATCTATCAATTAAATGGAACAAATATGGATATACGTCAGTTCAATCTAATTTGTTATAAATAATTGAGTCGATAAAATATTTTTATGGTATGTTATTTGTCACTAAAATAAATAAATGAGAAAATACATAAATTTAGAATAAAAATGCCATCAAATTCAAAACATAAAAAGTAAGAAAATCAATTCGCGTGTACACAGTGTTCTAAAAACCGTAATAAGTTGCGAAGCGCAAAACGTTTCTACTTAGACGAGTTTAAACGAAGCCTATGCGAAAAAAAATACATAAGAAGGTATTTTCTTATTTTAATATTATTTTAAATTTTCAATCAATCTAAAAATTATTTAAAAAATACAGACCCTAGCGAAGAATGATGAGCGCATATATGATTGAAGGATTGAACTTTTGATCTTGTGTATGATGAATTCTCTCTAAAAAATAGTATGTTCAATCTCTCTTAGTAGAATATACGACTCCTCTATTTATAGGTTGGACAGTTTAAGAAGATTGGGCCAAGTAAAAGTCTCGAAAATCGAAATTAGATTTGGTTGATATAATAAGTTGCTCGAGTGAGAAACACATTTCGCTCGAGCAAAGGGTCGTCCGTCGTCGCTTGAGCGACAGTTGGGCGAAGGTCGAGTTAGGATGTTCCTGCTTCATCCACTCAAGCATGACTCCGACGAACGGCTAGCGAAAAATCGGCGTGAATTCTTCTTATTCCAAACAAGAAAACCCAAACCCTAAGCTAACCTAACTGCTCAAGCATGACTCTAGCGAGCAACTAGCAAAAAATCGACGTGAATCCTTCTTGTTCCAAACATGAAACCCCAAACCCTAAGCTAACCTACCAACTATGAAACTTTACAATTTAGTCCCTAAACTTTTATAATCGTTCAGCTGGTCCTTTTGTTAACAGAATCGCCATTACAATATATAAACCTAACATATTTCTTTCACCTAAAAAATAACAATGGAAGATAATACAGACAACTAGATTACAAGAGGCAATCAATTACAAAAAGGTAACAACAAGGTGAACAAGACATATGGTATGTATGTAATTAACTAAATGAAACCAATGTTATTGGAACAAATACATCATCAACTCCAGCATCCCTCACTATAGACGGTCGAAGTTTCTTAAATGGCCATTACGAAGTCACATTATTCGTAATTGGGAACAAGAAAATACCGCAGCATCCATCCTCACGTCAATGGCTCCGCCGTCAATGTAATGAAATGAAATGGGTGTTGCTTCTCCACTCTTTAATTTGGCTCGTCGAGTGATCAACAATGGTTGGGTAATTGATATTCTTGATTTGGTGTTTAGGGTTTCGAATGTCCCTTGAAGCAGATTTGGGGATTTCCTCATTTAACTTTTCTCTGGTTTGTTTCTCTGATGGTAAGAGATGCATTTTGTTCTATTAAATCAAAACGTGATTCAAATTATATTCTGAAAGGCGTCTTTGACAGTGATGAATTGGAGCTAAGTTGACAATTAAGTTTATATTTGGAAACGTTTAACTAGCCACATCATTTTTCCATCCGCTACGTCAACACATATATAAACATATTTCAACATATGAGTAATGAACACTAACGGAGTGAAGTTCAGTGGCCAATGGGACAATTTTGAAAGTTTAGTGTATAAGCCGTGATATGGTACAAATGTCGGTGGCTAATGAAACATTCAACTCGGGAAATTGTGCAGAAAAAACCTAAAGTCGTTCGACCCATGCTGTTTTCACCCAATATGGAAACGCGATTTTAATATTCCAAAGAGGAGTAAAATATACCGGACAGGAGAGTAAAAAGTTTGATTAATCACTGAACTTAGTACTTTGTCACGTGGTGGTCACTCAACTTCACTTTGCTTCTCCACAGTCACTGAACTTACAGAGGATCCCCTCCATCCATCACCCACCATCTCCACCGTGTGAAACCGTCTTACATGGCTTGACGGTCGCCTACCGGGCACTCTACGGCATGAATAACTGCTGTTGTAGGACGCGACTTTATGTTGAAAAACACGACATATCTCCATGAAATCGAAATCCCTAACCATTATTTTCCCCAATTCGAACCCAAAGCCCTGGACGCAATTTTCTTCCACCATCCCCCAATTCGATTCCTCCCCAAGTTGATTTCTCCCCAATTCGAACACCTTCCCCCGGTTCAATTTCTCCCCCAGTGTACCCGTGAAGCTGGAGTTGCACGCATGGAAGGAGCAGACGGAGTTAAATTCCTTGAACATGGCAATTATTATAATATGAATTCAGATACATGACCCTTTGAAGTGATTCATCAACCTAGTTTTCACTTATCTTCTCCTCCATCGCTTCTACTGGAATCTTCAAAGTCGCCATTAATAAAGCTCGTACGAAGATTACCACAAGGACGAGTTCTTAAGCTAAAACCATATTTACCACATTTCTGTTCATCAATGGATGCTCTGTATATTCGTATGTCATGAAAACTGCACGCATAAGGGAGATTATGAATGTATGAAAATGTGGGTGTTGAATGACTGAATCTGTTATTGGGTTCATGGTGTTATTGGCATTTGTGATGTTATTAGCATTCATGAACTTATGTTTGTTGAGTCAATGATATAGAACAGATTATTTTTTATAAGCCATGGTAAATAATTCCATTGTTTTCATTTTGTTGATAGATTACAAGGAAGACCCTGATTTCGTTCATTCCGAGGTTGACATGTCTTCTGAGGAAGATGATTTGTTGTGACCGCAATGGAGTAAAAACTTTCATTAGTCACTGAACTTGGAACTCTATCATGTTGTGGTCACTCAACTTCAGTTTGCTGCCCATCGGTCACTGATCTTGCCAACCGTTCACTCCTTCACTCACCACCAGTTTCTCGTTTCTTACCTGGCTGGACGACGTCCTACTTGGCAAGAAACGGCGTCAATTCCTTGCCACGTTAGAACGCCTTCAATCCAAAACCACCATTCTCGCCTTCAACCCGTTCAATTTGAGGGAGGAATCCCCAATTCGAAGAACCCTAAACCAAATCCTCCATTCCAATCCAACCCAAATCCCGTCGAGTAAGACCCCGAATTTGGTTTTGCCCTAACTGCCTCCCTTCCAACTCCAAACACGCGACGTTGAATGACCCCGAAATCATCCCTCCAAACTGAAATCGCCCCACCTCCGTCGAATCTGTTCAGCCAAAATCAGGCGAATTTGTGGGGGAGGGTGCAAACTGATATTTTCTAATTGAATTGTTATTTGTCATTTTCTAATTACATTCTTCACATGTCCTATGTTGCTTGAGAATCTGAGATATGGAAGGGAAGCACCTTGGCGTTTTGTCATTGTTTCAGGGGAATTTGTGGCATTTTATATGGATTTCTTCAACTGTTGGAAGATTATTATCGGAATGGGGGATTAGACTTCTTGTGTTCTTCTTTGAGAGGAATTTTTGATTGGTTTTAGTTTGCAGTTTAACTATTAATCTACTTTGATTTCTGGAAGAGAAATGCAGTGCAGAAATGTATATGGTTGGCTTTGGTTTTGATTGCTTGGCAATGCATTTTCGATAAGAAGGTTGTGAGACTGGCGGATGGGAAAGTTTTGGATCATGTGACTAAGATTTCGATGTGCCTATTGGTTGGGACATTGATTTGGTTGGTTAAGACCTTGCTTGTGAAGAGGAGGAGAAGGTGAGAGCTGAGGTTCAGAAGCTTCAGAGTGCTGGGAAATGTGTTTTCCAAAAGTGGGAAAGTGTTAGGGACATCCCCGAAGAGTCCCATGGCTACAGGCGCAAAAGTCGGAATGTGTTTCCCATGATTTCATCTGGATTTACTTCACGTGATAAAGCTGAAGAATTTTATTGTATTTCTCGAAATCCATGTTTTTGTAATCGTCGGTGAACATGTAGTAAATTATGTATGTTGTAAGACTTCAAGACATTATGTAATCGTTTTTCATTGCATTATGAACTGGTTATGTAGTTTGCTATGTTAATAATAATGTCAAATCATCTGAACCCCCAAGCTTCACAGTATGTTAAACTTAATTGTGCAGAAATTGTGGCTTGCAGTTGGAAATATTTATATTGTTGTAGCATTTTGTGCTGGTAACAAGGTAATGGAGCTGACACCGTGTAGAATGAATGTCTGCAGCCGACCATTTTAGGGGCCTTAAGCCAGATCTGATTTGTACATTGTCAAAAGTCTGTAACACTTCATTGAAAAATTTGAAAATTCTTGATAATAGCAAAGTATAAACTACCAGAATAAGATACTAAAAGGGGAATAATAACAAAAGGAAGCAACAACTTTTTGACCATCATAGATACAAATAAATTTATTCCTTTAAAAGATCAATTCATACAAAAATATCTGCCATAATGTCTGCCTTACAAAATGTGACGGTTACATCACAGAATATACCATGACGTCCAATTCCTTATTCAGAGCAAACAAAAACCATCAAAAACAACCACAACATTCCCTTCAATCACGTTTTATCTGTCTAGATACTCCAAGTCATTGTCTTCCACTTCCCCTACAAGCATCACACAT